GTCCTAAAACATGCTGCCAAGTGGATGATTTGTGCTACAAACTACACAAATTAAGTTATTGTTAAACTGAACCTGCAACATTCTAGATGTAAGTTAACTTCCTTAAGCACCACACCACCACTGCCACTGCAATAAGTAAGACTTAGTTCCAGAAATTCTTTAAAATGCACGTTCATGTCCCAAGACATGCTGCCAAGTAAATAATTTGTGCTAAATATGCCAAAAACTGTTATATCTGAAAAGTCACCAATAACCAATAAGCAAGACTATAGTCTTAGTATCACGAAAAAATGTTAAACAATAAAAGGTCCCAGAATGTCAAAAATAATATGCTAAATTAAGGGTTCTCCAAAAATCCATTCAACAATTTTTTTTTTTTATAAAATGTATCAAAATATGTAATTTGATGAGAAACAAGCGCATTGGTAACATTTTGAAACATACATTTCCAAAAAAGTTCATCAGTATTTCTCAACATTGGACCAAAAACAACATGCTAAATTATGATTTTTTTTTAATAAAAATCAGAGATTTTTTTCTAAAACATTTTCAAATGTGCTAATTTGATGACAAACATGCAGACAAGATCATGTTTAAAAAAAGTTTTGTAAGAAAATATATATCATATTTTGCAACATCTGACTGAAAAATACATGCATTAGGATTTTTTGGAAAATTCATAACATTTAAAAAAAATTCAAATTGCTCTAATTCAATTGTTTTCAACTATTTTGTCATGCCCCCTACTAGGGGACAGAAGTTTTTCACACACCCCCAAACCACTGTATGATTTGCTTTAACCAAGTGACTGGAGGCTTTTTTATCTTTCCAGCATTGCTGTAATGCTGGAAAGATAAAAAAGTGGCACACTTCTGTCCATATCTGTCATATACATGACATGACATCACACATCTAAAATCCCCTTATTCTGGATTCATGTTAAATAAAACAAAATGTTAATTCCCAAACTAGTGTATGGTAAAGTGGTGACAAGGTATAAAAATGTTTGGAGCGTTGTTGTTGTCTCTTAACTCTGTTTTGAAGATGGAGCGTACAGTATGTCCTCTGTTTCCCTGCAGTTCAAGTTACCATGGTAACAGAGACTCAGAGTTCAGGGCATGCTTGTGTTGGTGATGAAGACTATTGGTCAAACATCCATGCTCATTAGTTGGCAGCCAAGGAAACTAAATAAATAGTTAGCAGTTTGTGAGCATTCTGGGTGATCCTGTTAGAAAGGGTTATTTTGATGACTACGTCCATACAGAGTCCATGTTACGTGTAACATATAGTCAACTCTTTGTGTAGATCTTCCTTTTTTGGGATTGACTGTAACAGACACTGATGTCCACAATGGCACCCGGCCGACGGTGGTGTTAGCTCTTTGTTTGGTAAAGGACTCTTGGAATGGGTTGAAATTCTTTCAAAACATACTTCCTTGAGCAGTTTTATTTACTCTTTACTAGTGTCAAGAGTTGATGTTGTATCAGACTGATAAAAAGAAGGGGTTGGTCACTACACCCTCAGTCACTGTTGGGTGTTCAGCTATTGATTGTTGGAAACCATGCTTTCTCTCTTGATGAAAGCTCTTAATTAGCCAGCGAAGAACTCACTTACATTCAAGTGCAGGTGTGTAAGTAAGACTGTATTCTTACTATCATATCATCCAAAAAAATGTAAGTCCCACAAATGCCTTAAAATGCAAGTTTATGGATATCTCAAATAGATCTGATTCCTTATAAATAAACGATTTGATTTTTATTGTGAGCGGTTGTCTTGGTTATTGTTTATCTGTTGGAGTGTAGCCAATTTTTATAGCAGCACCTTGAACACACCATCCATGCAAACTAGCTTGCAAACATCAGTGAAGAAAACTCAACTTGTGTTTGTCACGCTGGACCTGCACGAGCACGACCATCCTTGTTGAGTAGACTGTGATGAATTGAATTATATTTCTTCTGTGAAAAAAAAACAATAAATTGCGATTGATTTTGCTTTAACCTAACCCTTTAACCTAAAGTCTTTATAGATTGTTCTACAAATGTTGCTTTTCTGCCGCTTCTGCCACTATGGCCAGCGTAAGAGGAGAATGTGTGACACCCATACAGGCGTGAGTGTCAGAAATGAGAAGCTAGAGGTTGAGGTACTAACAAACTGTGTAGTATAATAGTAACAGCTGAATTAACTCCTAAATAGACTGTGTCACAGCGGAATTCACCTTCATTTGTCTGTGCTGCAGCAATATTATCAACAGCCATCCAGAGCGACATATGAAGTGAACAGAGGCAATATATTTTTACAGTGGATAGCCACTGTCGAGGATCTGCTCACGTGTGATGCGTCTGTTTATACAGCGGTAGAGGAAATTAAAAGGGTGTGAGGTGCCATCAAACTCCACTAAACACTGTGTGATACACATCATCTCAGCTGTGCTTGGGGGGTTTTAAGGATTATTTTGATATAAATGATATTGCTTAAAAGTACTATATATGACAGAGCATTCCAATTAGTGTAGTTTATTAAATGAGAGTTTTCTAGTACGCCATTCTGTTTGTTTTTTGTTCTGCCTTTCTGTTTCATCTCTGTGAACTAAGAGTAAAAGCTAATGAAGCCGTACCTGAACAAAGGCAGATGTAATACAGGAGGAAAGTGCAAAATGCAGTAGTTCAAAACAGATGATGAAAATAGTTTTATCCTCAGTCAAACCTGATGGGACATAATATTTAGGGTCTTTTGATGCCCGCCTTACATTTTGCAGTTAACAAAGGTACAATTGTGACACTCAGTTTGTCAAAATCAAAAATCAAATTTTTCCTTCAAAGTTTCTTCACAAAGAAACTAATTTCTTATTTTCACCCAAATTCAATAAGAATAAAATAGAACAATTGAAGTAAAGTCATTACGCTGCCAATACTATTATTTACAACTTGAGTAACAGTATTCATGTATCCCTGAACTACAAAAACAAAAATGTGTTAAAAAATTAGTTGAAAATATTATTAAAAGAAAATACTGTGCAGTTGATAACTTTTTTAAAGATTTAATAGTGGTGTACTGAAGTTAAAGAAGTTGGTGCGTGTGTTTCCTGCAAGAGCAGACTATAGTCCACTGTTGGAGCTGAGGAGCACCGGAACACTGGGTTGTGGAGAATAAAACCTTATTGGTAGTGGCACGGTGCCTGACCCAGTTGATAGCATTTGCCATATTGTTTGGGCCTTGATTAATCCCAATGCAGCCCCAACAAAGCTGGCTGTGTCGTGAAATTGGAGCAACAGTAAGGCCCGCTGCCAAAGCCAGAGAGAAGAGCCCATAAGTAATAGGGAGGGAAAATCTCTCGAGTCCTCTGGACCCGTGCTTGAGGTAGGCATAAGTTGCGTGCACGCACACACACACACACACACACAGACGCACAGACACACACATGTATACACATGCACACACACACATCGCTCACAAACACCCTCCTCCTCCTTCCGCTACTTGTCTCCCTTTATCATGCGTTTCCTCCCAGATCTGATGTAGTGGTGGGAGGGTCAGGGGCACAGGGTGCACAGACATTATTAAGCCCACTTGAATTAACAGAACAGCCCCCAGTCTTTCCTCTAAAGCCTCCACCTGGGGGAAGCTTAATCCCCATGGTCCCCTGTCTCGCCCATTAAACAACTCTCCCACCCCTACTCTCCCCGCCACAGACACACACACACACACACACAAACACGTGCAAATGCCATGTGTTTGTGTTTAAACAAAATGCCTGGTTTGTTCATACGTACATTTGAGATTAGTGCACATATATAAAAACACAGAAGAAACCGTGACATGGCTGGTAATTACTGCTTTTGTTCATGCATAGAAATAAAAGGAATTTTTATCCATACATTAACACTCTTTAACACTCACACACACACACACACACAGTCTCACTGGCCTCAAGGGTCTTATCTGCTTTTTTGTATATGGAGAACAAATTGAATGTGGGGCTTGACACACGCAGGCCAGCAGATGTCTGGGTCGTTAAGGTTAGTCCAGCTGATTAGCATGACAAACAGAGTGCCCCCACCACCAAAACACTCCCACCCCAAAGAGGCCCAACTCTTGAGTGGCAGAGCCGCCGAGGCCATGGGTCACAGGTGATGTTGATTTTTGTGAAGGGCCACAGTGGACGATTGTCAAAACGCTTTGGAGTTGGTTGAAAAGGAGGGGGAGTCGACTGGTGCGGCCCCTCTCTTGTTGAACACATGGGCACACACTGAGTGCCACAAGGAGATACATGAATACAAATTCAAATGACTCCTGCCTCACTCAGACCCCAGACCTTTGTGCCTCAGTGGACGTCAAATTCTCATCTTGATTGTTGGTGTCAGATGAGTGAGGCGGTGGGGAGCTTTCGTTTGATCAGGTGTACAAATAAATATCTCTCACTCACACGGACTCCTATGGCCTCCTATGAAGTCGTGTTTTAAAATGTATTTTAATATTACTTCCTCATGTCATGTACATTTAAAGACATAACCAGACCTAGTTCAAATAACAGTTATAGGTGATATGAACCAGATTTACTGCAGCAGTGACGTCCACATGAGCTACAGATGGAATGTATTTATGTGGCTTTATGTGTTTGTGCAAGTGTGTGTGTGTGAGGGACATTTGTAGGCGATGTTTGCAGACCTCTGTGAGGTTCATAGGTTGTTATTTGATAAATCACGAGCTGTTCACAGCTCTGTTAATGTGGGTGGCTTATTCATTTATGTGTATACATTATTCTCTTTAAGTGCATCATGTCTGATGATTTATGTGTGTGTGTGATTGAGAATGTGTGTGTATTGTATAGAAGCAACATCAATGCTGAGGAGTGTGTGTGGGAGGAGGGGGGTGTACATGCTTCCCTTGG